ATAGAATGAAGTAGCAGGCTTCCATCAGTAGAAAATACTTACTTTCATACCTTCCACTTTCTCCAAGAAAGCAAGGAATTTTTTTCCAGAGACAATCTTTTCAGCATCTATGCATAGCAGTTTTGTAACTGTTTTCTAACTCTGTATTTGGTGGAGTAAGAAATTAAGATATATAAGATAGTGTTTTTTTAAACTGACTTCACTTTATAGAAATAACTAATTGATCATGCCCATGACTGTCCTGTTTACAAATAACACCCTGTAATTCATTCCTACTCAATCTACTTTTCAAAGCATAAAGGCCTAGAAAGCTATGCAAAGGGGCATTGAATTTATTCCATTAGTAATGAAGTTAGCAAAAGTTTTTGAAAAATAAAGTTTCTTTCAGTTCAGTTCAGTCGCTCAGTCGTGTCCGACTCTTTGCGACCCCATGAACCACAGCATGCCAGGCCTCCCTGTCCATCACCAACTCCTGGAGTCTACCCAAACCCATGTCCATCGAGTCGGTGATGCCATCGAACCATCTCATCCTCTGTCGTCCCCTTCTCTTCCTGCCCTCAATCTTTCCCAGCATCAGGGTCTTTTCCAATGAGTCAGCTCTTCACATCAAGTGGCCAAAGTATTGGAGTTTCAGCTTCAACATCAGTCCTTCCAATGAACACCCAGGACTGATCTCCTTTAGGATGGACTGGTTGGATCTTCTTGCGGTCCAAGGGATGCTCAAGAGCCTTCTCCAACACCATAGTTTCTTTGGAGTAGAGCAAAAAAGCACGAGACTTGAAATCTGAAGATATGGCTGAAATACTAGCTTTGTAATCTATAATCCTCAGCTTAGCCATCTGGGAATATCTTCATAGGATTATTCTGAGAGTCATATTAAGCAATATATGTCATAGACTGTAAAGTGACATGGAAATACTTGTTGCATAGCATAAGCATATTGGTTATCTGCAATGCCCACGAAGAAAAATGCATCTTTTTTCCTGTCTTAATTTTTTTTTCTTAATTTAGTACACATAGAGGGTTGAAAAAATAGTTGGCACTTGTAATTATGAAATATGGTCAAAAAAGTATTTAATAATTCCAAATATTTTCAGTAAGAACATATCTGTGAATGAGTAAAATATCCTAAATTTTCAGGATCTAGGTTAGAGAAATTCTACAAGTTCTTAAATTCAGTTTTTGGGTATAGAGAGTTTTCATAGCTCAGTTGACAAAGGATGACTTTGAATGGGAATGAAAACTTTAATCTTATTTTGAAAACATCAATTGTCTAATTATTATGGGCTCTGTGTGTTCTTTTTCAATAACTGTGGCAAAAAGAATTTCATAGTCAACGCCTTCTGCAAATATGCTTTTGTGGTAGAGAGAACAAATACATTTTGCAAAGGAAAATAACCAGATTTAGAGAATTAGACTGATTTGTTGACTCACTGGCTGAATTAAATAATTCCCGCCTCAGACAGTTGGCAGAGTGAAAAATCAAGCCCTTCAACTTCATGGCTGACTCTGTTTGCTTTTACTTGGTTTGTTTTCTCTTAGGTCCCAAAATGCAAAATAGAAGTGTTTTGCTACCTGATGACAGTTATAAGTGACAAACTTCTTAAGTTTTAACTCTATAAACATAGAAGAAGTCGGGATTCTGTCTGTCTATGGCTAGTATTCTAAATGAATACTTTTTTTTACTGTCTTCCCCATGGTTATAAACAGCTCAATTAAAAACAACAACTTCTATAGTAGACTACACTCAACTGTGGGCTTCCCTGGTATCGCAGATGGTAAGGAATCTGCCTGTAATGCAGGAGACCAGGGTTTGACCCCTGGGTAAGAAAGATCCCCTGAAGAAGGAAATGGCTACCCACTCCAGTATTCTTGCCTGGAGAATTCCATGAACAGAAGAGCCTGGTGGGCTACAGTCCATGGGGTCACAAAGAGTCAGACATGACTGAGTGACTAACACACACAGACTCTACTGAAGAGAAGAAATGATGCAAAGGTAAAGAATACCATAACTGGGCCCAACTTATTTGCAATGATATTTAGAGGTTTTATAAAATAATCATACACTTAGTTGTAATTAATTATTAACTAGTTTCTCAAGAAAGTTATTTGCCTCATTTAGTAAACATTTATAGTATTTCAGTTATAAGCCAGGCATGGTGCTAAGTGATAGGGAGCAAGTGAAGATATCCCCAGTTCTAGTAAAGCTGTTCATTTCAATGAGGAAATAGACATTAGTCCACTGATTATGCTGATGTGAATACATAATTACAAATGGAGAAAAAAATGTTATGAAAGAAAAGGCTGTAAGTCTCTCTCAGAGGGTGGGCTTTCTTTAGGAGGCAAAGTTGAAAGAAGGGACTTCCCTGGGGAAGGGTGGATAAGAATCGGCCTGCCAATGCAGGGGACACAGGTTCAATCCCTGCTCCAGGAGGATTCCACACGCTGCAGAGCAACCAAGCCCACGAACTGCAATGACTAAGCCCATGTGCTACGTACTGAAACTTGTGTACCATAAAGCCTGTGCTCCGAAGCAACAGAAGTCACTGCAATGAGAAGCCTGAATACCACAATGAAGAGTAGCCCCCACTAGCCACAACTAGAGAAAGCCTGCACAAAGAAATGAAGACCCAGCGCAGCCAAAAATAAAATGAAAACAAAGGATAAAAGTTGAAGGAAGTGGTAAGAACTCATTAAGTGAAGGAGGACTACAAATTCAGACTAAGGAGACAGTGTGTGCAAAGACTCTTCAGTGAGGGACTTCCCTGGAGGTATAGTGGCTAAGACTCCATGCTCCCAATGCATGAGGCTTGGGTTTGATCCCTGGTCAAGGAACTAGACCCCACATGCCACAACTAAGGATCCCACATGCAACTAAAAGATACTGCTTGCCACAATGAAGATCGAAGATCCCAGGTGCTGCAACTAACACTCAGTGTAGCCAAATAATTTTTTAACACCATTTGGCAAGAGAGAGAAGGATTGAAGAAGCTTAAAGAGGCCCAGTTTGGTGGTCATGAGTTACTCTGTGGGTTACCAAGAGTAATAAGCCTCTGGGAAGGACACTGATGAAAGATGATACTGGAGCATTAAGCAGGAAAAAGTGATGCAGTGTCATATAGACCATGTCAAAGATATTGATTTTTAATATCTAATAGGAGATGTTTGTTTATGTTTTCAGTAAATACAGTGCTTCCTATTGCCAGTCTTCTAGATGCTCAGGATAGAGTAATAAATTAAAAAAATACATGATCACATTTGTGTTTATCTTGTTTTCAGGATAAAATATGGATTGGGGGGGGTTGTTCAGCATTGATGTCTGGAGACTAATTTGTAAGTTTCTGTAGCAGTTCAAATGAAATATGACAAATGTTTGGCTTGTGGCAGTAGGTGGTGGAGAGACGTGGACATAGCTATGACATGTCAAGAGGTACAGTCAATAGGACTTGGTGATAAATAAGAAGCTGGCTTGAGAAAAGAGAGATATCATCTCTACCTAGCTGTTTCTCCTTTGAGACACTATATTGATAAAGGTAAATTTTACTGAAATAGGAAAGTCTGGAAGAGAAAGAGTTACATCTATTTTTCTTTGTTGGAAAATAGTGAGGAGTGACCATAAACTCAGGCTAGTAAGTTTAGTCTTGAACATATTGACCATGAGGTGATATTCAAGTGGAAATATTGAGTAGATAGCTGGAAACACAACTTTGGAATTCAACAAAGATGTCTTGGCTAGATAAATTTAAGAAAACATTAGGGGTAGAACTTGAAATCACCAGATTATAAACTTGATGAAAGGAGGGTCTCCGTCTATTTTCCCTCACAATTGGAATTTTAGAAGAATGTATCTGACACATACTAGGTGCTCAATAAGTATTTGTTAAATGATGACTACTCAACAGATGAACCTAGATAGAACTCTTAAAATTTCTTATATAAGCTTACAAAATCACGCTTGTCGGGATTCCTCTAAAAATAGTATAGTACATCTTGCCTCTCCTGTGCCAAAGATGGTGAGCAAAATATCAACATAATTAAATTATAAAAGTTACAAACTCTTATCTATAAATAAATCTGGTAAACATATATACACACCTGAATGCAGAAAACCAGGTGGCGAGCACTACCTGTTTGTGGATATTTCAATAAAAGTCCCAACAGTTGGGGAGAACAAGATGGTGGAAGACTAGCTGGATATGTAGTACATCTCTCTCCATGAATACATCAGGAATACACCTTCAGACACAGAAGTGCATGCAGAACACCAGCTGAGAACAGACGGGAGGACCTGACCAGTGGAAAAGAATATGTAGAACCACACAAAACTTGGTAGGATGAAGGAACTAGGGGGGAAAACAGGAGTGTTAGTAGGACTGGACCTACCCTTCGCAGGTGGGGGAACTGAAGCAGGGGTCCAATCCCCACAGTGGGGCAATTGTCTGAGTCAAAGGAGGAACATTTAAGGCTGAGAGTGAAACAGCTGATCTGTGGCACCTAAATGGAATGAGAATCAGACAGTCCTTGCTGCAGCCATACATAAGCCAGGCAGGAATGCCAGTCTCCTGGAAGGGGCAGCAGCTGGGAGCTGGAATTTAGGGATTGTGGGGCAATCCAGGTGCGAGGGCTGCTGTTGACTGTGGAGGGACAGATCGAGGGGATGGAAGGGAGCAGATCATGGTGGGAAATGCCTGTGGAGGAAAGCGAGGCAGGCATGGAAGCAAGGCGACACTGCTGAGTCACCCATAGGGGTGGAGCCATCACCATAGCTTCTCTCTCTCCACACACCAGCATCAGCAGCTGAACAATAGAGAGGCTGGACCATCAAACGCCTGCCCCACTGCACTACAGAGTAGGACCCCACTCAGGGTGCTCCTTTAAGTGACGGATGCACCGATCTAAAGTAGAACCCCAGTCAGGGGGGCCTCTCTATAAGCTTGATGCGCCGACCAACAGAGAAGGATCCAGGCAAGGGATCCTTCTAAGTGCCTGAATGGGCAGAGCTATGGAGAAAGACTGGCCAAAGAAACTTTCTGATTGCCAGCTACAAGAGGCTTAAAAACAAATCTCTGATAGGGCCATAACTCCTGCCCCTGAGGCAGTTTGTGTCCCTGAACACTTGGCGCTGCCAGGGTTCCTGCAAGCCAAGCAGCTGCACCACCTTCACGCTCAACTCTCACTGGGGCAGAGCTGCCACACCAAAAAAAAAAAAAAAAAAAGCTTGTGTTTATATGTGCAGGGTCACTTCGGTCCTGTCTGACTCTTTGTGACCCTGTAGACTGTGGCCTGCCAGGCTTCTCTGTCAGAGAGGGGGTTCTCCATGCAATAACACTGGAGTGCATTGGCCAATACTGGTTGCTATACCCTTCTAGAGCACTATATTTCCTGCAGCCCTAGCCGCCAACACCCCTGAGTACCTGGTACTGCCAGAACCCCTACTACCCAGACAGCTGCACCACCACCACACTTGGCCCTCACTGGGGCAAACACAAGCCCTACAGGGCAGCTTCAGGAGCTAAACCCCAATGGACGACCCACAGGTAGAGGTGGAAATAAAACCACAATTAAAACCCAGGGGCAGGGTGGCTAAGGAACAGGATCCAAAAACTTCCCACCAGCTGTACAAGCTACAGATTAAATCCACATGATCAACTAGGCAGACTCTGTGTTTACAGAATATATAAAAGGCCATTGAGAGCTCCCACAAAAGAAAATGCACTAGCTCTGACAGCTGTGGACATTGGAGGCAAGAACATACAGGAGTAGGACCAGATTAGAATCTGAGCAGCCCGCACAGCAGGTTCAGAGATCAGTACAGTATTGGAGGGCATCCTAGGGAGGTAAGGTGGACTGTGATTCCCAGCGTGGGAAAGGACTCTGACAGCAGTGACTCAAGAAAAACATTTTTTATTCTTGTTTCTTAACTTGTTCTGTAGATTCTTTTTGATTTTTTCTTTTTTTTTTCCTTTTATCCCCCTCTGTTGTAGTTGTCGATGTTATTGTCACTAAGAAATCCAATTAAGCTTTAGAGGTTTTTTTTTCTTTTCCTTCAGTCACATTTTTTATTGTTGTCATAAACTTCTGTCTCTATTTTCGGATTTTACAGTTCTGTGGAGTTTTCCTCTTTCTTTTTTCCTTTCTCTTTTTAAAATTTTAATTTTTAATTTTTTAAATCTATTATTATTTTTCTACATTTGTTCCTTTGTCTGCATTTCCTACTGTTCTTTTCCCCTTGCAGTTAATCTTCAACACATATAAATCTTCTTTATCTACCTCTGTTTAACTTTGCATATCTATTCTTTCTTTCTTTCCTTTCTCTCCTTTCCTCTAAACATATTAGTTTTTTTCTTTGCTTTATTCCCCAATTGGCACCTTGCTTTAATTATGTTTTCCAGTTTGTGCTTTAATTAGTTTTGTTCTGGTAAATATAATTTTTGGTTTCTCTTGTTTGCCAGGTCAATCTATTATACTTAATTTTTATTGGGTTGGTTTGATTTTGCTTATGAATGTATATATATATATGTGTGTGTATTCAGTCACACTTTCTATTGTTGTTATCGACCTCTGCTTCTACATTGGGCTTTTGCAATTCTGTGGAGTTTTCCTTTTTTCCCCTTTTTTCTTTCTTCTTCCTTTTTTTCTCTTTTCTCTTTTTCATAACTTTAATTTTTAATTTTTTGAAACCTAGTATATTTTTTCTATATTTATTTCTTTGTTTGCCTTTCCTACTGTTCTTTTCCCCTTGCAGTTAAACTTTAATGTATATAAATCTTCTTTATCTACCTCTATTTAAATTTGCATTTCTATTCTTTCTTTTCTTTCTTTCCTTTCCTCTCAACATATTTGTTAGTTTTGTTTTCACTGCTTTATTTCCCACTTGGCACCTTGCTTTAGTTTTGCTTTCCAGTTTGTGCTTAAGTTAGTTTTCTTCTTAACTGGTAAATATAGTTTTTTATTTCCTGTTTGCTTGATCAATCTACTGTACTTTATTTTTGTTGGACTGTTTTCACTTTGATCATGGCTGTAAATGTATGTGTGTATATTCCATTATTTTAATTATTATTTACCTGACCTTATAACTGCCATTTGTCTGGGGTTCATCTTTGGTTTCTCATTTTTGGATATTTTACTCTCACTTAATGCCATAACAAAGCACTTGTGAAATCTTCATTCCTGACCAGAGATCAAACCCTGAGCCCTTGGAGTGGAAGCACTGACTCCAAGACCCTAGACTACCAGAGAACTAACCCTAGGGAGTATCAAATAGTGAGAGCTCACACCAAGGAAACCATTTGAATATAAGACACGGCATCACCCAACCACCAGTAGCACCCTGTGCAGAACACCTCATCGAAAAAACAAACAGAACAAAAATACAAAGCCAATCATCAGCAGACAGGAGTACCACCTCACTCAGCCTTGCCCATCAGAGGAAAAATGAACAAACAAACAAACAGAAACTCAGCACAAATCTCACCCTATATGAAGCTCACACAAACCACTGGACCAACCTTAGGAGGACAGAAGCCAAAAGGAAAAAAATAATTCAAACTTCTTCAAGGAAAGAATTCAACTTTCCTTCAATCCTGAGAAAAGGAGACCTCAAACACAATAACTTTAAAAAAAAAAATGAAAAGGCAGAGAAATACTGCACAAATGAAGGAACAAACTAGAAACACAGAAGTCCAAATAAGTGAAGAGGAAATAAGAAAATTACCTGGAAAAGAATTCAGAATAATGATAGTAAAGATGATGAAAAACATTGAAAACAAAATGGAGAAAATGCAAGAATCAATTAACAAAGACCTAGAAGAATTAAATAATAAGCATAGAGACAAACAACACAATTACTGAAACAAAAAATACTCTAGAAGAAATCAATAGCAGAATATCTGAAGCAGAAGAACGAATCAGTGAGCTAGAAGATAAAATAGTGAAAATAACTACTGAAGAGCAGAATAAAGTAAAAAGAATAAAAAGAGCTGAGGATAGTCTCAAAGACCTCTGGGACCATATCAAACACACCAACATTTGAATTATAGGGGCCCAAGAACAAGAAAGGTTATGAGAAAAATTTTAAAGAGTTTGTAGTTGAAAATTTCCACAACGTGGAAAAGGACATAGCCAATCAAGTGCAAGAGGCACAAAGAGTCCCTTACAGCATAAACCCAAGGACATACATGCCAGGACACATACTAAGCAAACTAACAAAGACAAAACACAAAGAAAGAATATTAAAAGCAGCAAGGGAGAAGCAATAAGTAACATACAAGGGAAACCCCATAGGCTTAACAGCTGATCTTTCAGCAGAAATGCTTCAGGCCAGAAGGGAATGGCAGGATATATTTAAAGTGCTGAAAGGGGAAAATCTACAACCAAGATTACTGTACCCATGAAGGATCACATTCAAAATTGATGGAGAAATAAAAAGGTTTTCAGACAAGCAAAAGTTAAGAGAATTCAGTGCCACCAAACCAGCTTTACAACAAATGTTAAGCTGACATATATAGTCAAGAAATACAAGAGAAGAAAAAAGATCTACAAAATCAACCCCAAACAATTAGAAAATGGCAAGAGGAACATATATATCAATAATTACTTTAAATGTAAATGGATTAAATGCTCCAGCCAAAAGACACAGACTGGCTAAATGGATACAAAACCAAGACCCATACATATGCTGTCTACAAGAAACCCACTTCAGACCTCAAGACACATATAGACTGAAAGTGAGAGGATGGAAAAAATATATTCCATGCAAATGGCAAGCAAAAGAAATCTGGAGTAGCAATCCTCATATCAGACAAAATAGACCTTAAAATAAGGGAGATTACAAGAGATAAGGAAGGACACTACATAATGATCAATGGAACAATCCAAGAGGAAGACATAACAATTGTAAATATCTATACATCCAACATAGGAGCACCTCAATACATAGGACAAACACTACAGACATGAAAGGACAAATTGACAGTAACACAATAATAGTAGGAGACTTTAAAACCCCACTCACACCAATGGAGAGATCATCAAAACAGAAAATTAATAAGGAAACACAAATCTTAAACAATGCATTAGATGAGACAGATCTCATTGATATCTTCAGTACATTCCATCCAAATGCAGAAGAATACACTTTCTTCTCAAGTGCACATGAAACATTCTCCAAGATAGCACATCTTGGGTCACATATCAAGCCTCAGTAAATTTAAGAAAATAGAAATTGTATCAAGCATCTTCTCTGACTACAACGCTATGAGTCTATATATCAATTACAAGGGAAAAAAAAACTGTAAGAAACACAAGCACATGGAGAGTAAACAACATGTTTCTAAATAACCAACAGATTACCGAAGAAATCAAAAGGGAAATTTAAAAAATGTCTAGAAACAAATGACAATGAACACACAGCAACTCAAAACCTATCAATCAGTCAGTCAGTCAGTTCAGTCACTTAGTCTTGTCCGACTCTTTGTGACCCCATGAATCACAGCACGCCAGGCCTCCCTGTCCATCACAAACTCCCGGAGTTTACTCAAACTCATGCCTATCGAGTTGGTGATGCCATCAAACCATCTCATGCTCTGTCATCCCCTTCTCCTCCTGCCCCCAATCCCTCCCAGCAACGGGGTCTTTTCCAATGAGTCAACTTCGCATGAGGTGGCCAAAATATTGCAGTTTCAGCTTCAGCATCAGTCCTTCCAATGAACACCCAGGACTGATCTGCTTTAGGATGGACTGGTTGGATCTCCTTGCAGTCCAAGGGACTCTCAAGAGTCTTCTCCAACATCACAGTTCAAAAGCATCAGTTTTTCAGCACACAGCTTTCTTCACAGTCCAACTCCCACATCCATACATGACCACTGGAAAAACCATAGCCTTGACTAGACAGACCTTTGTTGGCAAAGTAATGTCTCTGCTTTTTAATATGCTATCTAGGTTGGTCATAACTTTCCTTCCAAGGAGTAAGCGTCTTTTAATTTCATGGCTGCAGTCACCATCTGCAGTGATTTTGGAGCCCAAAAGGATGCAGCAAAAGCAGTTCTAAGAGGGAAGTTTACAGCAATACAATCCTACCTCAAGAAACAAGAAAAACATTGAATAGACAACCTAACTTTACACCTAAAGCAACTGGGAAAAGAAGAAGAAAAAAATTAATAGAAGGAAAGAAATCATAAAGATCTGAGCAGAAATAGAAGAAAAATAAATGAAAGAAACAAGAGTAAAGATTAATAAAACTAAAAGCTGATTCTTTGAGAAGAAAACAAAATTCACAAACCCTTAGCCAGACTCATCAAGAAAAAAGAGACAAGAATCAAATCAACAAAATTAGAAATGA